TTTAAGGTATTATGGTTTAGATATGGGGTATCCTCCAAAGCTTATGTGTTTGACAATGTAGAAAGTTTGGAGGTGAAATAATTAGGTTTGAGAAAGCCTTAACTTAATCAGTGTGTTAATCCAGTTGAATGGATTAACTGGGTGGTAACTATAGGCAGATAAAGTGAGGCTGGAAAAGGTGGGTCAGAAGAGATGTACCTTTGGGGTATATATTTTGTCCCTGCTGAGCAGAACACTCTCTCTCTCTGAATCCTGCTGGCCATTTTGGGCCATTTTCTGAGTTGCTTTTTTTCCTTTGCACTCTTCTCCCATAATGTTCTGCTTTATCTTGGGTCCAAAGCAATGCAGCTAACAGTCTATGGACTGAGACCTCTGAAACCATGTTTACCAAATAAACTTTTCCTTTTCTAAAGCTGTTCTTGTCAGGTTTTTTGGTCATAGCAGCAAACTGCTGACTTAAACACCTGGTTCTTTCAGGAATGTAAAACCATTTTGGCTTTAACACCAGATGGTCATACTGTTCACAGTCTTAGCACTGTCCTGTAAAATTTTCTTTAATGGAAATCCATATAAATGTTACATATCTGACCTCACTAAGGCAATAGCCACTGAGTGCATGAGGCTACTGAAGTATAGGAAATATGACTAGTGTGACTGAGGAAGTAAATGTTAAAGATTTAATTTTAGCTGTCTAAATTTAATTTTAAATAGCCACTGTGGCAGGTAACTACTTAGCTCAATTCTCTTCCTAATCTACCCCTTCCCTTCCTGCTGCCTTTTCTTCTACCACCCTTTCATACTACCCTCCTTACAAGGATGGCTCTTATTCTTAGCTCACCCAAGGGGACAGCTTGCCCATGTGATTGCCTGGATTCCGTCTCTAGATGTGAGGCTGCTTCTTTTCATTGTTCCTTCCCCAAGGCTGATTCTACACAGTGAAGCTTAGAAGCACCATGCTCATATTCCTGAAGTTTGGACCTATGTCCCTGGCCAGAAGATCTCTTTCTCCAATTCATTTGGAATCTCATTCTTGGACTAATAGGCTTTGATCTACATCCTTACTATACCTGGTTCTCTCTATGGCTGTGCTTAATATTTGTTTCTGAAACTACCTATACTGTCCATTGCCTGCAGTGGGTAAAGATTCTCACCTCTAGTCTAAGCCAAACTGAACCCACTCATATTTCTGGCACTTGACCAGTACTGTTTTGTAAACTGCCTTACATCCTTCACCATGAGAAGATGTAAGGATGAAGAGAATTTAGGCAACCACAGAACTATCTCTTTAAAAAGCTTTGAAAATAGCCCAGCTACAACAGGTAGACATTTTTGAAAAGAATGAGACAAATTCCTTTTAAAAAGAAGTGGAAGGTTAAAAAGAAAAGAAAAAAGAGAGCGATTTTCTTTTCTTTTGCTAAAACCTGCTGCTATATGACTTTTAAAAAAACATCCCAGAGAACAAAGCACAAAATCTGGATCTAGAATTTGCCACAGGAAAGCATATCCTGAGATTCGGAAGGACTGAAGAAGGTGGTTACTGCCGAAGCTCTAGAAAACATGAATCAAGGACAGTCTCTAGACCCTCACATGGAGCTTGAGCTAAGTGATGAGTACTGAGAAGCACTAGGGATTTGGCTGCCATATAAATGGGCCAGTTGGATTTTTGAATAGATCATTTATGAAGGTTTTTAAGTAGCTAATCAAATACCAGAGGAGTAAAAGGATCCATATTCCAACTGTTTCCAGGAGTGTTTGAAGAATTGATTAGATAATAGCATCTATACTTCCAGAAGCTAGCTTCATGGGAATGATTAGGCCAAATGTTACACGAGTCCATATTCTCCACACAAAGGTGAACTAATTTTTCACAAGCAGCTTTTTATCCATCCTTATGTGCTAAGTGCTGGACCAAAGAACTAGTTACCAGGATTGCTTTTTCCCAATGATCAATTATTATGTGAATGAATAAACTCATGCACAAAGACTGGCAGTCAGCTTTTCAGGTAGATGAACAGATGGTGTCAAAACTGTAGGAGACACATATTGAATCACATCCATAAAGACAGAGGATCTAATACAAAGAACTGATGGGTAGGTGGGATATTTGATAGTCATGGTCCTAAACCTGAAATGAATTGCACAATACTAAGAAAACTCCATCTCCTTCCTTCTGTATGGGTTTATTTATATATAATATTGACTACACAGACATAAATACACATACACCTAAGCAGAGTATCAGGTTAGTTCTCTTCTGTTGCTGCTTTTATATTTTTTTCTTTAATGATTACAATAACATTTTGAAAACTTAATATATCTGACTTGCATTCCAGCAGGGTTCTGTTCAGGATTGAAAAGCAACTTAAATCTAGACAGCCAGCTTCTGCTAGGGGAATTAGGGTTTCTGTTCAGTATAATAAACGATCCCAAGATAAATATATTTCTTTTTAAAATCCTAGATGGTAGTGTATCTTCTTTCCAATACAGAAACAGAGGAGACTAGTTCTATTTAGTTTGTCTGATTGCTTTGAAGAAGGGGGACAGGTTGACTCTGGAAAAGCTATGGTCCTCTATTCATTAAAGTGTCAATAAAACTCAGTCCAGGCATATTGACAGCGGATTAGCTTGGGCTGAGTCTGTGTACAAGACCAATGCCTTTTTTAACCCAGCTTGTTTCCAAATCAATACACCCATCAGCATTCGAAAATTAGCCCAAGATGAGATTCCAATACTTGAGGTGGTGTGTCATGCTAAGAGGGCACCTAGCCAAGTTACAGATGTAAACATCAAGATGTGGATTAGACATTTTCCATTAGCTTGGGCATGAGTGAAGATGGATGGAGAGTACATTCCCTCACCCCTCCCATCATCCCATCTCCCAGGTACTCTACCTTCTCTTCTGGAGCCCATGTAAGATCTTCACACTATAATTCCAGCCATTTTCTTCAATAAGCATTTATTACATGTTCAATTTGTATAAGACATTTGACCAAGTATTAGGGCAGGAGTGTGTGGGTGTATGCAGTGGGTGACTTAAGGGAAAAAAAAAATCTGCCATAAACCACAGTGTCTTGTTTTAAAGGAGACATTAGCATTTTTCATAATTCCTTCCTTTCCTCTATCCATAAATGTTCTGCTTCCTAAGCAAATTCCTGTTCGTAGTTCCTACTCTTTCATTATCATTACTAGATATTCTGCCCTAGGAATTACTTCAAAAAGCACAGTCTAGTGGAAATTACAGAAGGTGTCACTGGAACATTTGCCAAACCTTCCCATAGTTTGGTGATTCTTTATTTTGTCTACCATAAAAATGTATTTATGTTAAAATAGACAGACATTGAAACAACAATATCATGTAACAATTCCTACCCTGGTATGGAAAACATACTTTAATACCTTTTTTGCAATTCTATTTAAAAATGCAATTTGCATGTAGCAGCTTGAAAAAGACTTATTCATTTATAGAACCAATAAAATAAAGAAAACATTATGATTTCTTTGGTGAAAAAAAAAGAGTGAGGGAAAAAAATCACACACAAAAAAAATTTTTGTGAGCACACTCTGCCACAATGTGAGAGCTTCCAATGTCAAACTGGCATCATCTCTTACCAAGCAAGGCCTGATGTTCCCCTCATTCTAGCCTGTCCTCCTGTTATTACAGCTCACCCTATCTTGCTTTTCACAGTTTGGATTCCCAAGACAAGTTTTGCTGTCTCCTCCATTCTCATAGCTAGCTTTCCCCTGATTCTTCCAGTTTGTTGAGCTTTACCTTCTTGAGCCATGCTCTTTCCCATTTTCCTATAGCCAATCCTCCCATAGCTCTACTCTTCTCTTAAGGATGCTGACAGGAAGGGTCAGCTCCAGGAACCTCCAGGAAAGGAAGGAGTTCATTGCACCTGGCTGGATGAAGAAACGCCAACAGAGCAGCTGGCATTTAATTGCTTGGGGGCTTTAGCTTCTGAGATAATAAAATGTTTTTAATCCACAGTAAAACCTATCTAAAAAGTTTAAAAAATGACAACAACATTCAAAAATAGAAAGAAAAAAAACCACGTTTTTAATAGCACAACAGCTAACACATAAGTAGCCTTTCTATGGGCCAGGCCTTCTCCTAAGTGTTTTATGTGCTGTACATATAAAATTGAATCCTTATCCCTGCTCCACACATTGACCCCATTATACAGAAAAAGACCTGTGAGGCACAATGATAATTTGATCCAGTTCTCACAGCCAGAAAGCAGCCCATTGTGACTCTAAGCTCTTACTGACTAGGAATGCATCCACAGGCTGCATTATCTGAATGCTCCGGGACCAGTTCTGCTTTGTCCCAAGTTCTGAGCAAAAGAGCATAATGCAGAGAAACATACACAGAAACAAACTCCAAATGAACTGCAGCAACAAAAGAACCCAAACAAACACACGAGGCCTCAAAAGTACAGAAGGGAAGGACAGCCAAGCTGTAACAAAAACACAATGAATCTGACCGATTTTAGAAGAGAAGTGACAAATCAAAACCCAAGGTTGAGGCATGAGGGAAAATGCAAGCAAACCAGAAACAAAGGGGCTGGTTGGGAAGGATGCACTTGAGGGAAGACCCCTGAGCCTCCTTGATGGCTCTGCTTTGTGTCAAGGCTGGTCTAGGCTATGTAATATGTGTAGCACCAAAAGAACACTGTAACGCCGGTCTTAACAGAAAGCAATCTTGGAGCTGGATGAAACATTAAAAAAAAAATGTTTAGGGGAGAAAAAAACAAGGAAAGCAATAATTAGAGGATAATTTCTATGAAAATATATTCTGGAATAAAAGCAAAAATGAAAACAAAAGTTCTATTCAATGGGCAAATGATTGCAAAATTCAGCTTCTAAAAACAAAATGACAGAAAGATGTCCTCACTGGGTAGGATAAAAAGAATACATCTCTATTAAGGTCAATGAAAAAGTCATTAATATACAGGCTTTCCTTGCCATCCATTCTGACCTCCCAGCCAAGCTTCACCCACCTTGTACAATGAGGTGGACCCGAGAGGTCTTTGGGTGGTTGTCTGTCTGCACAGAGCAGGTGTATGGGCCCTCATCATACACATCCACATTCTGGATCTCGATGCTGTACTGAGTTTGGGTGTTGCTCAGGAGGACCACACGAGGATCCAGGCACCACTTGTCATTCCCAGCGTAGAGGATGGTGCTGCGGTTTAGCCAGGCCACCCGGGTAACCCGGTTGTCAATCGTGCACCTGAAGATAAGACAAGACAGGTAAGTCAAAAGATCAGGGAGTAAACAGGAGCCATTGTAATGGGGTTGTCATGGCAAGGCTAAGATTATTATTCAGCCTTATCTTTCCCCCTTATGTCTGTGTATGTGTGTGTGTGTGTGTGTGTGTATACACACACACATTTACTTTTTTGATCTGTTATTGGTGAACTTTCTGAAACACAGTAGCCAAGGCCTTTTGGGATTAAAATCTCAGAATATTGGTTGTCTTAGACTTGCAGGTTCAAAGGAGTTCAGTGCCTCTGAAATTATCTGGGCAAAGAATTGCTTCAAACAACTTCTCAGTTATAACCTGGAGGTATCTTGCATACTCAGAATGGCTGGATCCTTTAGCACTACTGGCCTTTCCTTGGCCCAAGAATTTCCATGCTGTGGATGCTTATAATCACTCTAATTACTGTCTAGGTGTTTTGAGTGTACTAATTCATACAATGCTTATAACCACTCTATGGTATATATTCTCTTGGTGAAGGAATTGAGGAACAGAGCAACTGAATAATTCTCCAATTCATACGGATAATATGTGCTAGATCAGAAACCCAGCTTTTAACTACTAACCATTATTCCATGCGTCTCAGAATAGCAAATTCTGACAGAAGGCTTCTGAAGTCAAAACTAAATATGGACCACCACCATTGCTATTTATCTTCATTACACCCAGGGGCAGAAATGTTCAATTATTGCTAGACTAAAGGCATTTTCCCAAAGCTCAAAACTGTTTGCACATATAAAAATAGATTCCTTTTCTTTTATTTTTGCATCTGGAGTCCTCAAATTGTGGAAGCTTCCTTCTCTTTTCTACACTTTAAAATTTGCCAGAGATCTCACCAAGTCCTCATCATGTCTTTCTGTCTGTATTCATTCCCCTCTCTTGCTATACCACACATATTCTATGGCCTTAGGGCAAATTCACAAATACAGCATCCTGATCCTAACTATAATGCTGGAAATAGCAATGTTACACAGTACACATAATGATGCCTCAAATTTATACATTCTATTGCAATATACAAAGTACTTTTACATTCACACTGTCTCATTTGATTCCTGCGTATCTGTGAGGTAGATGCTCTCACCCATTCTCTGTTTAGAGACCAGGACTTTGGAGTTTCCAAATGATCTGGGTCTTGCCCAAGGTAAGAGCACGGAAATAATGGAGTCAGATCTATCTCTCAGTCAATGTTTTGTATTTCTGGTTCTGAGTATTCCTCAGAAGGCACAAAGCTTATTTTTTAGTGGGGAGGGGTTTTTCTTCTATTTTATTCTCAAAACAATCTGTCATAAGTAAAAAAAAAAATCTAAGAGCTAATATTGAGCACCTTCACATTGCTATTTCTAGTTTCCTCAGGCAGTTGGTCCCTCTCGAGATGAGACATCCTGTACTATGCATCCTTTCCACTTTACTTGTGTAAATGTCACACCACTATGGAAGGGCCACTCAGTGCAGGTGGACATTTTGCTGAGAGCTCCTGCAGGGAAAACTGCTCAACCAGAAAAAAAAAAAAAAACCTTTGCTCTGGTATCCAGCAAGTTTTGAACTGCTTATTGAATTTTCTAGAAATTCAGAAGAGATGCATTGTCTCTGATATCAGTAAAACATACAGCATGGAAATGGTGGAAGATCTACTGGGGGAAGATAAGGAGACTACTTCTGGAAAAGGGTGTAACACACTTATGTCAGAATCACATGAGAGGCACTTAACCTCTATCACCCACTAGTCTACTGATTCAGAATCTGGGAAACCAGAAATACAAATTTATAATAAAGTGCAAGTTAGGCCATGTACTCACTAAAGTTTGATGTTGAATAATGTATCCTTGATCACCTACATAATTTATTGGAGTCTGGAGCAAAAGGAAAATGGGGAGACCTTTGCTCAATAATTAGTAAGAGTTTTAAGATGGTAAGAGTAGAACATGAAACTAATTGCTGGTCCCACTGCAAGTAATCACAGTTGGAAATCTAGCTATGAATGCACCTCAAACTTCTTTATACTATTGAACCCCCTGGGAATCTTGATGAAATGTGGATTCTGAGTGCATAGATCTAAGGTAGAATCTGGGATTCTGTATCTTTAGGAAGCTCACAGGTGATGACAGTATAGATGGTCCCTGGATTGCTTCTTGAGAAGCATTTATCTGGTGGTAAATTTTGTGTACATTAGCATTTGCAAAGCACCAAGATAGCAAAAGTGTGATCAGCAAACAGCAGGCTCAATATCACTTGGGAACTTGTTAGAAATACAGAATCCCATGCCCTACATCAGAGGAATTGAATTGGAATCTGCATTTTAATAAGATCTCCAGGTAACTCAAATGCACACTGCGTGGCCTAGAGTGTACTAAAAACCTTCTTTTATGCTTTAATGATAATATCCGGGCTATATTCTGGGGGGTAACAAGTGGAGAGAAGGTCAGACAATGAAGGAGGTTCCTGACACTGTTCCTTCCCTTACATCTTGGGCTGCCATTCCTGAAATATGGATTTGAAATGACATTGATCTCAAATCCCTCAAGAGCAACAACACAATCCACAGCTTGCTTTACTAGTAATGTACCTGGGACACCATTTATGTTAACAAGCATTCATTGCTCTGACTTGCATGTGGGTCCAAGAAAGGAACTGGTTAAAATTCACATTTATGGCTAATACTTTATTGAACACATATTACTATATGCTAGGTTACCATGCAATTCCATTAGCTGCAATTTTAGCATCTCAAAAACTTGATCATGTTCACTTACGGTTGACAATTTACAGATGAGACTGAGACTAAGAAACATCTGTATTGATTATGATCACACTGATATTAAGCTGTAGAAATAAGAATAACCAATGCTGTTGTTTTTTTTTCAAATTTGATATTTTTTTAATGTATTATTTTTAATGAGAGAGAGAGAGAGAGATAGAGAATTTTTTTCAATATTTATTTTTTAATTCTCGGCAGACACAACATCTTTGTTTGTATATGGTGCTGAGGATTGAACCTGGGCCGCACACATGCCAGGCGAGCGCGTTACCACTTGAGCCACATCCCTAGCCCCGAATTCGATATTCTTAAATGGCCTTATGTGATCTCAAAAGAACATCTAGATTGGTGGTTCTCAAATTCAAATTGAATCATCATCTCCTGGATGATCTGAAAGCATTAGTCATTGCTGAGTCCCTGCCTGCACTTTTCTCATCCAGTAGTTATGAGGTGGGGGTCTAAGAAACTGCATTTCTGATATAATCCCAAGTGGTATAGATGCTGCTGGTCTGGAGACCCCTACTTTGAAAACCAATAACTTAGATATCTGGTTCCTGGTGGAATGAGAGGAGGAGAGTGAATGGGCAATAGGAAATGACTCTTGTTGGAAACAATTTCCCATTACGCTGCAGGAGAGAACTTTCTTGTACCCGATGTGTTCTGGAAAAACAGAAGCAGACTCCTAGTTATTTTTCTCCAACCAGATACCAGTTAAATGCCCATAGTGCAGGAAATGCTGACCAACAGACTCTAAATAACGTGAATAATTGTTGTTGATGGCTGTAACACAGGCATCTCACAACCTCAAGAGGAATACATGAGGACTGTCCTGGGCTTTTTTGTGAGCATCTAATTATTGAAAATCGACTAAAACAGAAGTGTTCCCACCACACCGCATTGCATTACAAAGCCAAAGAGGTTCCTCTGCAGATACACTAGCGCTCAAAAGCTCAGAACATAGCCAATTTCCAGCACAGTTATGCAGCCCCTGTGATATACTACGCTGAAAAGCTGGCATAACTTCAGCTGCGGTTTTGGGCACATCCAAGGTCATGTTTAGATGTCCAAACTGTCACTGCTGGATATCAGTCTTGCTGAGTCTCCACGGAATTAACGCTGGCTTCTGCAGAGATGGATCACAAAGGTAACTTGGCAGCCAACTCCTGTCACCTCCTCATACCTGCCCCCATCTATCTGTCTCATTTATCCAGTCTCCATAACAATGCAGAAGAGACATTTCTCCTAGGTTAAAGAAAAAAAAAAGTGAAAATGAGCATAATTGCTCTCTCAGTCAGAGAAAGTGCTTTGGTGGATAGGGATTAGGTAGAAATTAGGATTGGGGAATTAAGCCAACATGTTCCTTTATTCAGATACTGTCCTTCATATGGTTCTTCTATCAAATGACTCCTCAAACACATGATTTTATTTCACCTTCTTCAAGAAGGAAATTAAATATATTATTACCTAGGAGTAAATAAGGTTTCATAATTTTCTGTCCATGACAGGTGAACAAAGATAGAGATGTTTATTCCTCAGATATCAGAGAAACAGTCCCAAGTTGACAGAATGCAGGCCAGGAAGAGAGATGGGAGACAGAAGGGAGGGAAGGGTCCAGAATAAACTTTGAAAGTCTCTCACCTTTTCCACAATCTTGATACATACCACCTTTCCACTTCAACATCCTCCCTGCCCAACACAACTAAGATAAAAGGAACCAAGAACAACCTTAGTGTGCCCAAGGATTCTGGGTTGGACCCGGGATCTCCCAGCTCCCCTCCATTCTGGTAGCTTTTGGTTATCCAGCTTCAATGCCAACCACTCAGTCACTGGTCATCAGCCTTTGGCACTTCTGAGTGACTTTTCCATTACCACCAGTCCCTCCTGTATGTGATCCCAATGGACAGCCATTGGCCTAGCCTATTCAGCATCCTGGAGCATCCAGACAGAAAGTCTTAAAGAGACATTCATTTGCCATTTCAGTCTACATATACTTTCTCAGTGTATGTATGTATATGTGTATGTGTATTTCTTGTTCTTCTAGAGAAATTTCTTCTAGAAACTCTTAGTGGATAGAATATTCTAGTTGAGTATGGATTATTGAGGGCATCCTCCCCCCCTCCTCATATTAATTGTCAATGCATTCTCTTTAATGATGAAAATTGTCATGTGTAGTTGGCCAAAAGAGGACCCTGCCATCTGAGCACATGTTTAG